TAAATAGATTATAAAAATGTAACAAATAAATTAGGGGTTCATATTTTTTAAACCTATATATATTGTTTATTCTAGTCGTGCTCTAAAAAAAGACATTAAATTATATAAAAATATAAAAATTTTACGTCAATATATTTTAAGAAAATAAAATAACTTTTAGATGTAAATTAATTAAAAAATCCACTATGAAATTGCTACCCATAAAAGAAAGAGTTATCATTAACCATCATACCATGTCTTTAATTTTTAGTATAAGTTCAAAAACATGGTTTTCTCAAACTTCTCAACCCAAACTCCTTTATTTTAGTAATCTTCATTTCTCTCTCCATTTTTTTTTTTTTTCATTTTTCTTCTTTCTCCTCTCTGATTCTAGATGTTTTCATCTTTTTCAATTCAATTCATAACCATTAAAAACACTTTAATATTTTCAACAATAAAAAAATTTTCAACCCTATCTTTAGGTAAGATATATGTCAAGAACCGTTCTTTTAATAAAAATGTATAAATATATTTTTTATTTTATATAGAAGTAATCTTTCAAGTTTCAATTGAAACTTTGGAAATTTATTTTTGTTTGGTCTTTTATTTCATTGTTCTTTTAATTAATAAAAAGTTAAATTTAAACCAATTGAAATCAACCGCGTAAAAATAAACAACTCTCATGAAATTGTTTTGAATACATGGTATAAATTAAAAAGTAAAAATAAAAAATAAAAAAAAATATTTTTTTTTACATTTAAATCGGTCATCATTCCAAAAAAAAGAAACAAGTAACTATTATTTAGTTATGTAGCATTAAAAATCATGCACTCACTTGTGAATCCATATATTTCTTGATTCAAATTCATTCACATGTCTTCTAGCCAACACCTAAGCCCATAAGAGATTCAATTTAATATGTTACCTACGTATCTTTTTTTATATCATATTTGTATTATGATATTGTGTTGTGTTTTAAATTATTATATCTAATTAGATTAACAAGTTCTCTCTTCTTTCACTTTCTTTCTCTTTACAATCCAATTCCTACTTTCTTTCTTCATTGCCCTTTCATATATCCAAAATTTGGTCGATCGATTCTAGATGAACGCTTGACTATGAGACTAGGCAATTTCCCCTTCCATTCTCAAAGTTTCATTATTCTTTCTCTCTTTTCCTTTTTCATTTTTCTTTCTAGTTTTGTTTTATTTTTTAATTTTTCAAAAATTTTTTAATTTAAAAAACTAAAAATATTTATTATTTTTCTAGTATGCCAATGAAATATTCTATTGATAAACATTTTGTCTAATTTGGATTTAAATTAAATGTATTGTATTAAAAATTTATCAATCAATTCAAAAATGATTAATCGATAAAATTTGATCAATAAACTAAAAAAAGGATAAATTAGATCATTAACTCTTGTTATCATATCTTTATTAATTAATTGTTATTTAGATTTATGATTATATTCATTAATGATAACATTTTTATCAATTTCGTTATAGGTGTCAATCCAAGTCCTCTATTAGAAGACAAATACAAGCTTTACAATCTTTTCCAGAGGTATTAACGTTTCTTTCCTTCAGTTGTCTTTTCAAGTCTCCTCAACAATACCAAACAAAAATTTTACTTGGACTAATATGTAATTTGATCTTTAAATTATATTATTCTTCATGATTTAATACCTATATAAAATTTATGATTTAGTGTCTCAATTTTCATTGTCATACAGTTTTTTCCTTAAACACTATCTCTATTAATAATATGCTAATATAGCAATAAAATAATAAATAAAATCATAACACATAACTCTTTTTCATTGGTCAATTATATTTGCCATATCATCTTTTTTATTAATATCGTTAGTCAGTGGTATAAAGTGTTTGACAAAAGTAAAATTAAGATATCAAATTATGAATTTTTTTTTATAAATGTCAAATTGTAAAAGTAATAGAGTTCAAGAGTGTAAATTGCTTATTAAGCTTTTTTTTTTTTACTTTGATTTTAACTTTAGAAAGTTATCAATAATTTATTTTTTTTTAATGAGTTAAGGTCTGAATATATACAATTTTATTTTCGTTAAAAGAATCAAATTTATTAATTTAATTTTATTAATAAAAAATATAAAATAATTGAATTTTATTTTATTATTGATTTCCGATTGAATTAGGTTCTTGTAATAGATACCAATATATTTTTCATTAAATAAAAGGAATCAAATTTTAATAAGATATTACTAAATGGGTTTAGTATGAGTATTGAATTTGTTAATTGGATTTGGATACGAATACTTTAAAAGTAGCTGATATTCTATCTGTTATCATTCCTAAAAAAATGTTAATTTAATAATGTATTACGTTTTTTTTTTCAAATGTGTTGTATTTTATTTTTTATTTTTTGTTGTAATTCATTATTATCTATATTAACACAGGATTTCACATTAAATCAATTGGTTGCTTTGATTGAGATATATGACATATTAGACGAGGTATGTTATGAACATAATATTCCATTGGCTTTAACTTGGACTTGTGAGGCTAAATTAGAAAAAAAAACGTACTCTATGGATCCAAAGTACTTTTTGTTATGCCAATCATTGGCGGTCTCCATATGTTATTGGAGAATGTGGAAAACGCCGATTTCAAGAAGGGCAAGCTATTGGTGGGAAAGCACTTCAATCAAGTGAGCACTTCCATTTTGAACCATGTATTACTGAGCTTGAGAAATCTGACTATCCACTTGCTGATGTTGTAAGGCCTTGGTTTAAGGGGCAAGCTGCTGCTGCAATCTGTTTACAGAATCGCTATACCACTGATGATGTTTATGTAGTAGAATTTTTTTTGCCTACTAAGGGAGAAGGAAAACTTGAAAAAGCAAAATCCCTGGCATTTCGTATCTTCAATGACTTGAAAAATATGAAGAAAAAGTTTGTAACAGTAAGGATTCGGGGAACTGAAGTTGGGCTCCAGGAAGAAGCCATTTCAAACGTTCCGCAGGTGACAGTGCCTATGAGAAACCCTATACCAGCTTCATCTACCTATGATTTTCTAGACTCAAAAACAAGGGATGATCATGTAACGGAAATACAAGGGTTTAATGAGCTGGTACCATTCAATCTTAATTGTATTTACAATATCTGATACTTATATTATTCTAAGGTCATTCATAAATTAGCATTTCACGTGTCTAATGGTAATAACATTTTCTTTTAGATGGGAGTGACTCCAAATTTCCACCCACCACTACCTATGCGTGCTTCATTGCCAGCTGGGACAGGGGGAGTGCCCCTTGAACAGGTAATCTGTTGTTCCTTTATCACTTTATTCAAGGTTACAATTGTATTAACTATTCTTAATTTTTCCATAGAAATGTTGTACTAATTATAAATATTTTGTTAACTACTAATGAATCTATTTTTTCTCGAACATGAAAAGTTAACTATTTAAAAATGACTAACTGTAAATAATTTGTTTTTTCTATGGATTTGTGGTTATGTTAGGGAAATGGAAAACAAACTTCATTTGAACCACTTGCAAAATGTCAGAATGAGACAGTAAAAGCAAATGTAAATAACTTACTGATTTCAAGTGTTAAACGAAGAAAGTTGACATCTGATGTTTGGGAAAGAATTTATCAAGAACAAAGATGGGGATGGAAAAGAACTTGCTATATGTGTACATTGTGATAGAAAGTTTGATGGTTCAAGTAAGAAAGGAACTACTCACCTAAGAAATCACTTGACAAGATGTAAAAAAAGAGCAACCAAAGTTGGGAGAGGTGATTTAAAAAATGAAAATGCAAGTGAAGGTAATTCTTTATTTGATCAAGATGGAAGTAGCATGGATGTTGCAAGAATGATTATTAAGCATCAATACCCATTGAATATAGTTGAGCATGAGTTTTTCATCATTCTTTTGAAAAAATTGCAACCTATGTTCAAACTTCCATCACAAGAAACTCTATCATCTGACATAATTCATGTCTATCAAGAGGAAAAGCATGAACTTATTCAATATTTTAAGAAGCTCTCCTGTCGCTTTAATTTGACAATTAATTTGTGGGCACATGATCCTGAAAAGATTGTGTATTGTTGTTATACTGTACAATTTATTGATGATAATTGAGAATTGAAAAAAAAAATTCTTGCTTTAAAAAGTTTAGGGAATCAATTTGAGAAAATGACTTTCTTTGAAATTTTCAAAAAATTCCTTGTGGAATGGAATTTTGACAAGAAAGTTTGTTCCCTAACCATACATAATTCCTCTTCATGTTTCGAGATAACTGAAGAAATAAGAAAGAGCTGGCAGTGTCTTGTAGCTTCACATCCTTCAAGCACATTTTTCATCAGTAGTGATGAATGTATTTTTAGTCTCCTTGGTAAGGATAACTCAGGTGAGAAGAATGTTGGAAAATCTATTGATGGTGCCATTAAAACTTCAAATGCATGTTTGTGGGACATTTTTGGTAACTACAAGAAACTAAGTCAACAGGATGGTAGAGGATATCCATTGATGAATGTGAAATTTGATAACAATTGTAGGACATGTAGCTTGGTTTTGGCAATTGCAGCTGTTCTTGACCCTCAGTTTAGATTTGATGTTGTGGAGTTCTTCTATGAGGCAATCTATGGCAATGATGATGCCAGGATTCACTTGAGAATGATTCGTGATACTCTCACTGATATTTTCAATGAATATGAAAGAAGTATGTCTAATGAGGCATTGTTCTCCAAAGATACTAATTCCTCGACATTGTTGAACGCTGAAGAAAATACGATGGAATCTTTCCTTAAGTGGTGCAATTCCAAAAGGAATACTGAAGCTTCATCGATGTTAGAACTTGATAAGTATCTTCGCCAATCTAGAACTATTTCTCCCAATCTAGAGTTTGACGTACTTGGTTGGTGGTGTGAACAAGCTTCAAGCTTTCCTATTCTTGCGAGGATGGTTCGTGATATCTTAGCAAAACCTATGTCATCTATTATATCAGGTTCTACTTTCCATGAAAAAGTTATGATGGACAATCCAATATTCAGTGGATAAGATCCTCAGATCATAGAGGCGATGATATGTGGCAGGGATTGGTTAGACTCTCCTAAAGAAAGTAAGTAATATTGAATTAAGTTCTTATTATCATCTTATCTCCTAAAGAAAATAAATAATAAAGTAATATCGATTTAATTAAGTTCTATTATTGAAAAACCCATTTATAGATGTGGGTCAAAACTCTGCAGTTGTAGTTAACATGGAACCAAGCTATATATTAATACCTTAAGATAACTCTACCTAAACTGAAAATTTGTAAGACCAATGCACTCTTACAAGAGGTATTAGAACTTTGAATTAGGCAAGATGAAGCTTCTAACTCACTCAACATCTATAGTTGTACTATCTTGTTGAACTTGTATTGTGCATCATTGCAACATGACGTTCTCGTTAACATATTGTCGCAGATGACAGTGTCAATCTAGCACCAATGCAGAAAAGGGTATGTGCATATGATATAATTGATCAATTGAATGTGTTTTGCTACATTATAACTTTGAATTCTGGAAAACTGAATTTCCTTTATGCATTTTCATTTGATAGGCTAAAAGGAAGATGGAGGAGAAAGAGACTCATGCGGTGAAAAGTTGCAAAAATTGGAATTATGGAAAAACTAGCAGTGGAGAAAAATCCAAAGCTTCCCACAACATGGAACCTAATAAGCGATCAGGAAACATAGGTTGCCCTACTGTGAAATTGGAGGACAGTCCAGCTCCTGCACATCATTCGGAGATAGAACTCTTTTCTTCTAAATCTGATAATGAAGTACCAGGGAACGAAGATTACAAGAAGGCGACAACAACATGGACAGAAAAGGTTACTCCCAATAATTCCCTTCATATTTTGTAAACTTATGCAAGGAAAACTCGACCTAAAATCTTAGGCTAGTACCATATTTCTCACATCTCATATATATGTCTAAAAAGATTTCATATTTTTAGAATTGATTTATTATTAAAAAGTTTTCAACATTAAAAAGAAAAACTTATATTTTATTGTTGGGACTTTGTAGGATGTTCGGGCATATTTGGTGCCTCCTTTTACGGATGAAGAATTAGAACTTTTGAACAAAGGGTAAAATCAGGCAATAAGCGGGTACGTATGATACATCACCTCAGTCTCAGTCATGATCATTTGGCCTAATTAAGGGATCATTATCATTGTAATAATAATCAAATTGGTTGTATTTGTTTTAAAGAGAATCTGTTGGACAAGATAAGTTAGCTGGTAGTGCATTAGCACCTTTACTTATGATTCCTCCAAAATACGTTAATTCAAAGAATGCGCGAAATTACTATATTGAGGATACTGTAAGTGTCTTTCCAAACAAATAGTATTTTTTTTTCCTTTTTTTTCTTAAAAAAATGCTTGAATTAATGCTTTTATTGCATCTGCCTTGCCCATATTTGAAGGTTGTGAATCAGTTTTTCGTTTTGCTTAAAAGAAGGTACGAGAGGTTCCCACAAAAGTACCTGAAGCACCACTCATTCGATTCTTCTACTGCTGTAAGTATCTTAATTTATTCAAAATCATAATTAAGATATATTTACATATTCGTTGACATGAGAATAACTTTTCAACCATATATGATGAATTCAGACTTTCTTGATTAACGGATTATATGCTGAATCTCAAGTGTTAAATTGGGTTAAACAAGAGGACTTAAAAGGTGTGAGAAAGGTAATTTTTTTCCATGGGCTTAGTCTTTCTAGTTTCTAATGTAATATTGTAACATAAATCAACAAGTAGAATGGTAACAATTTCATTTTGTCTGTCAATGCAGTTGTTTCTGCCAATGTGTTTACATGAACATTGGCTTCTTTTTTATGCTGACATTGATGGTAAAAAATTGCCATGGTTGGATTCAAACGAACATTCTCAAATGTCCAATGTTTCAGAGAAGCATGTAATCTTACGGTGGTTTTTAGAGTTTCTATTGCCGTCATTGGGACATGATCATAAGGATTGGTCATATGATGTCCCAAAAAATATTCCTATGCAAAAGAAGTAAGCAAATATTCTATTCTAATTTGAGAGAAATAATGAAAATGAAGCTGTTGGTCTTCATTTTATGGTTTATAAAAGGTTCATCGCCCATGGTTACTTACATAAACTTCGAATCTTTGCAGCTCTGTGGATTGTGCACTCTTTGTGATGAAATATGCAGATTGCCTCACACATGGCAATCATTTTCCTTTCACGCAAGACGACATGCCTCACTTTCGACATCGGACGTTTCTTGATCTATACCATGGAAGCATATGTGTGGGAGGGAGCCAAGGTTATTAACTCTTGCTTAAGGATTGGCATTTTAAAGGGACATATGTTTAATTTGCATGGTTAATTTTTTAAAACACAATTTAATGAGACATATCTTAATCTTTTAACTCCATTGATATACTAAAAACATTACAAATACGAATTAAGTTTGATTAATACCAAAACCAAAGTTTAATTTAACTGTTAACAAAATTCACAAAGTGAGTTAATAAATCTCATTAATTTGAATGTTACTTGTTCAAAATATTTTTGAGTACTTATCAAATTTAAAGATATCAATTTTACTCATACCTTATAAGAAATTCAATTTTTTACTCCGTGGAGATGAGAGTGGATATTAAATTTTGAGATAAGTAAAGAAATGAGTATAGTTTTGAAATTCCTATATAGTATAAAGACGAGTAATATAGTAACCATCTTATATTTATGCTCATACCCTATATATTTATATACATATATATAATAAATAGATGTTTTATTTTTGTAAGATTATTCAGATCTTTAGAGATGAATTTTTGTATTGATTAAATGGCTAGCTGGGCTTTAGTGAGGATTGTACTCATTATGTTATGGCTAACCCTCCTTAAGGGGAAGATATCCTAGGAGTAGCAAGACCTAGAACCTCTAGAATTTAAGTGGTTTGACCACTCCTTTGCACCAAAAAAATAGATTTTTTTAATTTAATATTATAATTTTTTTATTTTAAATTATTAGATTTGATATATTTTTATTTATAAAATATATATTTATAAAAAATTAAAATAAATGTGCAAGATAAAAAAATTAAAAATAATTTTTATTTTTTAATAAGTTATAAAAATTATCTATACCTATTAAATTTTTGCAGGAATAATGATATAATAAATTTAAAATATTGTTTTGGACACGAAAAGGGAGATAATATAAAAAATCATAGATAGGAATGAGATGACAATGTCTTATCTATTTCATACTCTACTTATTGACATCCCTAATCAAATAATAATAATAATAATAATAAACCTAGAGCAAGTAGGATGCATGTAAACCACATGGCTTAACTTTGTTATTATCGCATTTGACTATTTGGTTGATTGATGTATGATACTTTGCTCAAAGAGTAAGCTTTGAATGTCCTTGGCTAGATGATTTAATTTGTTTGGAGTTACATACTCCTATCACTTACGTGAGATCATTTGCTGTCTCAGATGACAGAGCAAAACATGCACCACTGCCAAATAAGGTAGGCGCATATGATAAAGGTGATCTGGATTAAATGTTTTACCTATACTATAACCAAGGAATTTCGGAAGACTAAGTTACCTTTATGCATTTTAATTTCATAGGCTAAAAGTAAAAGGAAGATGGACGAGAAAGAGAGTATTTCTCTGGTTAAAATTTCGAAAAATTGGAATTCTGAAGAAACTAATAGTACTGGAGACAATGCCAAAGATTCCGATATAAATGGTAATTTATGATACTTATTATTATTATTATTGTTGTTGTTGTTATTTATCTAACTTGAAACTGACCTGTTGAAATACCAGATGGTGATCCATCTCTAGACAACTGGTTGTAGTTACAATGCTCCGCATCTGAGTCTGCTGGTGAAGAAGCAGAGAGCATGAAAGCTTCAGTGTGCAGTCGGAACATGTTGGAAATGTCAAAATGAAGTAAGTCCAATTGTAATTTGTTTATTAGATCCTCTTACCTATTTTCTACAACTTTCTATGGCGAGTAAATAATTTATCTAAATCTTAGACCCAACCCTTTACCTAAAATCTTAATTTTTTAAATTAAATAAATATTTTATTATCGTGTTATGGGCAGGCTTGTGTTCAGAATTCTAATCCCAGCCCTGCCTAATCTCCATCTTTCTTCGAGCAGGCCAGAAATGCATAAGGAGGTGGGAAGGCAATAGGGATGATTATACTTACCTTTGATTTATTTTTATTTTTCATCTTGATTGGAATCTAGAAAGGATGCCAGGCAAAACTTGACATTTTGCTTTACTTTTGTGCTTGGCAGAATGCAATCTTGACATTTTGCTTTACTTTGCGCTTGGAATCTCCCTCCAATGTTCACAAACTAACGAACCAAAGAAGCTCCCTTCTTCCTTTGTGTTGCTTTCATTTGCTGTCTTGCTTACATTTGCCCTTCACTTGGTTGCATTTTTTATCTGCCAGAAACATGCCAGAACTTCCATAGTGTTAGAAAAAGTTGCTCTGTTGGTAGCCGCAGCTGCATTTTGCCATGCCATTACATTTCCTTTTCTGTTGAACCTAAAATTTGCTACATGGACTCTATTTTCCTTTCCTTGTTTGTTATAGTGATTTGAAAATTCTTGTGTGGAAACATTCCTTCATGATTCTAGCGGAGCTAGTGCATATATAGTTGTTATGCTTGTACTCTATCAATATGCCACAGAAATGGATTCTTCCAAAAATCGGATTGTACTTTTAGTTAAATCTTTTGTTTTATCTTGATCATAATCACAAAAGCCTAATTCATAATAAATACAAAAATTTTGTGTTAAATGTTTTAACTAAATAAATTAATTTTTTTAATAAATTTAATTCTATATGAATTTTGTGATTATTGTTAAGTTTTCATTCAATAAAAAAATTTACATAACAAAGGAATTAAATTTCGATTCAATAAGAAACTAAAACATTTGATTCTCCTTTATCATAGAATTAAATAAAAAATAAAATGAGAATAATCTTACAACTAAACATAACCTTATTTTCCTTGTCACTTTTTCAGTCACCATTCAATCCCATTTTCCTTGATTATTAATTTCCAAACAATGACAATAATTTCACATTAAAATGATATATAAATTTTGGGTTTGATTAGCATTCAATTGCAATCTGATATGGCTATAGTCACCTTAGCAAAAAGAGAAAAAGACTAGAGAGATGAGCTAATCTCATTTAGCTCGCAAGATCTTAAAGGAACTCAACATTCACACGATGATGTTATAGTGATCACAGTTTTAGTGTACAACTATGTAGTCAAAGTAATCCTATTTGATAATAGGAGTTCAACCAATGTCGTGTACTATGGTTGCGTGACGAAAATGGAATTTAATGAAGATCAGTTGAAGCCGATCAACTCAATACTTGTAAGGTTTGAAATGATCAAGTACTTGTAAAAGGAACAATTAAGTTTTCGATCTCTTTGAAGACTGAACCAAAAACTATTACCTTAATTATAAAATTCATGGTTGTAGACGTCCCATCAGCTTATAATATGATATTAGACTGACCTAACCAGTCTATAATGTGATTTATAGGCTCAACTCTTCATTTGAAAGTTAAATTCTCCACTCGGTTGGAAAGGTCTGAAAAAATCAATCTACTACATGACAGTGTTATGTTACAACAATGAAAGGCAGGACTGGAAAGCAAATGCGTAATTCAGTAGAAACTGATGTTAAAAGCAAAGAAGGACAACCACCAAAAAATGACAAGCAAGAAGTCACCAGCTAGAGTACAAAATGTAAGACCGACCTGACCAAAGCGCGCTCTTAAGTCACTTCAAGCTTTTAAGCTTTAACAAAAAGAAAACTTTTGTTTTATTTTTTGAATTTTTTTAGGTAACTCCAAAGACAACTGAGCTTTTAAGTCTGTGTAAACAATAACATGTCATTTGGATCAAGCTAATACATCAGTCAAAATATAGTGTGAAATGAAAAATATATACTAATTTCACTTCATACATGTTTAACAGGTTATTCACAGTGCATTGATCATCACATCAAATCTATTTTCACAAGAAATGATCCTGACCTAATTGAACAAAAAGATAAAATTGATCAAAGATCAAACTCAAACAAAAATTGACCTGAGCCGATCAAGGACCTTAAAACAATTCTGTTATGGAATAGCAGCCTTATAAAACATATACAGATCATAGCTAAGCTTCAACATAAAAATCAATTAATTCAACTTCTAAAAGATAATGCTAACATATTTTCTTGGACATCATATCATATGCCTGGTATTGATATCGAAGTGATGGTTCATAGACTGCATATTAACCCCAAGGTAAAATTAATTCAACGAAAAAGAGAATTTTTACCTCGAAAATACAACAAGCTATTGAGGAAGACATTGACAAATTATTATGAGTAGACTTCATTAGGGAGGTTTATTATCCTGAATGGATAGCCAATGTGGTCATGGTCAAAAAGTACAACAAAAAATGAAGGATGGATGTTAACTTTACTGACATGAACAAAGCATACCAAAAGACAGTTTTTTTTTCCTAAAATAAATTGATCAATGGATGATAGTGCCATGGATGGCCTCAGTTTTTTTTATGCCTATTCTAATTACAATCAAATCAAAATGCTAAAGAATGACAAGAAAAAGATAGCCTTTATTACTAAAAAAGGCTTTTTATTGTTATAAGATAATGCCTTTTGGATTGAAGAATGCAGGAGTGAACTACTAAAGGCTGGTAAATAATCTGTTTAAAAACTAGATCGATCGTAACTTGGAAGTGCATGTGGACAACATAATAGTTAGAAGCAAGAGTTTGATTAAGCACTTGAAAGACCTCATGAAGACCTTTAACACTTTGAAAATGTATAATATGAGCTTAACCTAAGCAAATGTGCTTTTAGGGTCACATCAGGCAAGTTTCTCGATTACATGATTAATAAAAAGGGGATAATGGCAAACTCAAAAAAAGTTCAAGCAATCTTAAACATGAAAGTGCTAATCTCAGTAAAGAAGTATAGAAGTTAATTGGAAGAATAACTGCCTTAAGTAGATTCAAGTTCAAGTTGATAGAATGACGGTTTGCTTTTCTTTAAAATCTTTTAGAATGTTTCTAACTTTAGGTGGACTCTTTAGTGCAAAAAAGCTTTTGAAAGACTCAAAGAATTTTTATTATCTCCAACTATTTTGTCTAAACTAAAATCCGGTGAGATCTTGTACCTGTACATAGCCAGCACAGGCCAAACCATTAGCTCGATCCTAATCCAAGAGGAAAAAAGAAAATAAGATAGATCTATTTTGTAAGCAAGATACTAACAAGGCTAGAGATTAACTACAGTAACATAGAAAAGCTAGCTTATCCCATTGTCACCTCAGCCAGAAAACTTAGGTCATATTTTCAAGTTCACACAATTTACATATTGATCGACCAACCATTGAGACAGGTCTTACAAAAGCTTAAAAAGTCGAAAAGGCTAATTAAATGGGTGAATAAAGCTCAGCAAATTT